ATAATACCCAAATTTCCAGACGAAGTCCAACATGTTTAAGAAAAAATGTTGGACTCCGTTGATTATTAGCCGTACATTGCTACCATTAGTCCAACGAGCGCGTCATTTCAACATTTGTGATTGGATATACAAATGACCATTTGGTACACAAAAACGCATCCGCACAGTCCAACCAAATTTTTGCATATGCAATCAATCATGGAGATAACTGTCATTTAATAGATGCCTCTGGCCCTTGGTCCTGTGGATTACAATATCGATTGTATGAATAATTGCTTAGGGGAGAATGGAACAAATTGGAACATTTTAGCATTTCATTCCATTGATATTGGTTTAGGTATGATGATTATTGAATATACAGAGATTACCTTTATAATGTCCGATATTTTTATCATAGCGTCTTAAATGAACAAGTAGGTAGTAGGTACATATACGCTTGCACACTTACACTTCTTGCTCTCCGGCTTAACTCAATAATAATACAATTAGTTAAAATAACAAATAGATTTTGTTCTCTACAATATGAACTCATTCTCTACAATAGGAAGTACAGAGATATTTAGTAATTAGGTACTGTTGTACCTTTTATGCTGTATACTAAGTAGTTTCAAACCAAGTTAGGTGTGCCTAAATCAAATGGCATTTATTCCGCTATTTATTACATATCGATTTTTCTCCACGAAATTTTTTTTTCTGTTATTTACGCAAGTAGTACTTATAAATAAAACACTTTTGACAGCTTAAACGCGAAGTGTATTAGTTTTTTTACAAATTACTATGTTAACTTCGGCCCGACGTTTCGGATGCTTTGAAGCAATCGTGGTCGAGGTCGACAACTAGCATGTTTCGCGTTTTAAACTGTTAAAAGTATTTTATTTCAACGGTTTAAAACGTTTCTGCTTCTTTAACCTTCACAATTTAGTCTCATAAAGTTTATATATATTTTAAGACGTAATCAAACGTATGTTAATTGTGATTGTTATTATTTTATTCACATGTGGATACACCAATAAAACATGGTGTCTAATCGATAGCCTAGCGTGGCGCTGTGGTTCTACTATTTACGGAAAAAATAATCTTTAATATTTATATTTAATGTCTAAATAAAAAAAAACTCTTTTCAGAGAACGTAACGACTGTGCTACATGTGTAACACGTTTTTATCTATATATTTGGTATAATATACTGACTTTATAAAAACTTTTTATAAATTTCATATTTCTTCGTACCAGGATGGCCAGATGCCAGTACAACATACCGCATTGAAGCAACTCAGACGCTCGGAACTTCGGTCTTCGGACAATCTGAGTGCCAACAACACTTTTTTAATGAATAATATTATTTAATATACAAAAGTTACATATATTACGTATTAGCTACGTATGTACAGCAGTCAGAATATTTTCTGAATGGCGATATTCTGTTTTGTTTAGCAAATAAATAAAAAAAAATTAAAATATTTCATAAATAGTTCTGTTGTGTTCCAGGGTTCTGTGTTACAAATGTAGCCAAATGTGCATTTAATCTAAGAAGCACTTAATAAAGACCGATTTCCACAAGTAAGTAGTAAGCAACAAAAATAAAGAATATTTAAACTCTGTCGTCTGTCTGTCTAAAAAAAAAATGTCGATTTCATGTCTTGAATTCTTGGAAAGCCTCATAACTTCATGAAGTTCCCGCCAAGAATCCTTGTTTATGACAAAAATGTATACACATATAGAAATGTGTAGGTCCCCTTATCCCAATAGTAAAAAGTACAATATTTTTTTTGTAAATACAATATTAATTTATTAACAATGTAAAGGTTTTAAATTTAGACTGAATATTTCTTTGTGGTGCGAATTTCATGGCTGGGGTTTAGGCTTTAAAATATATTTTAAAAAAAATAGATTAAAAAACGGCCATAGAAATGTGTACGTCCCTTAATCCAAACAGTATAAATTACAATATTTTGTTATCGAAAATACAATATTAATTTATTAACAATGAAAACGCTTTAAATTTAGTGTATTTTTTTATATGTGGTGCAAGTTTAATGTCTGGGATTTAAACTTGAAAAGATATAAAAAAAATAATGTTTAAATAACGAGCTATTTACAGAATGTAGTTACATTGTTCAAGAATAAGTTATGTGCAATTGTTTGAAACTTGTATTCTTATTATTATATATTTTTACTAAGCACATATACTTATTTATAGTACATATACAAAAAACACAAGGGGTAAATGGTAATAATTGAAACTGCACAGTTTTCTCAAAATAATTTATTCCTCAAGAACCAACACTAACAAAACCGGGTTTGTCGACGCAAAAAGATCTTGAATTTACTTCGTTCATATTTTCCCGTACAACTGAACAATTTCCACTCTCGTTCTTTCTATCGAAAATCACCATCGACACAAACAATGCGAAAATCACAAGCCAGATAATATAGCAATTGTCTTCCATTTTCCACACGATATACGACGCTGCGTTCATTCTATTTTAATATTTTCTTCGAAATTTTTTAAACCGTTGTTGTAAGGTTGCGCAGTTGTCAACCCATAGATAGCTGGCAACTGACAATGACACAGATAATTTTAGTGAGGTTACCACAAGATGAGGCAATTGAAAATTTTCGAGCGTCGTCTTCGTTTTCGTTCATGACTTAACGAATAAGCAATTAATATTGTACTAGATACAGTCTGTGATGAGTTATGTCATTATTGAAGTCATATTAAAAGAATTGTTTTGTTTTGAAGAGTGGATTTGTGTTGTTAAGATAATTTAATACAAAAATATAATTTATTCCTTCACTTGAAATGTTTTTTAATACTATTTTATTGATGATTGATGATATTAGCCCAATAAGGCGTACAAAATATTTCATGATTAGGTGGCCCATATATTTTACTTTACTTTTTTTATATTCAAATATATAAAAAAAGTATCTACAAGTATTTTATAAATTGAGATTTTTCTTTCCAGCTTAAAAAATGAACTAAAATCACGCGAGGAAGTCAGTTTTCATAAATAACATGGAATATAATTTTGTAAAATAAAATGGAGGTGCTAACCCGTTTCAGTGGATTGATCTTTTAACGGTTTAAAAGTCCCCCCGTGACCACGCCTGCTGCTAAGCATCCAAAACGTAATAAATTGTAAATAAGTAGACTAATCAATTTCGCGTTCCCTTTCTGTTGTATGTGTACCTACTACTCGCGTAAATTACATACTATAATAAACATACAGGAAGTTCACAAACGAATATAGCAGAAAACCCGTTAACTGACATTATTGTTTTTGGCAAAAAACTAGTATAAAGCTAGAATGCGATGAAATTTGTGTAACTTATACGCAGACACAGACCTCGGAAGGTAACGTTTTTACAAATTCTCAGGGAAATTATGCATAATTCTGGACTAGCTTTTTGCATCTAGATCCTGTTTAATGCAAATGAGATGGGACGTAGAGCGAATTAATGGTAGCTTTTAAATTACATGAAATGGATTCTAGTCAAATTAAAGGCGCCGAAGGCAGAAACGAGAAACCATTAGGAAACCAACCTACATAAATAAGCTCTTTAAAGTTCAACTATTTATTTATATCAAATAATGGGATATCATTTCAAAAAGTTTGCAATATAATGTTAATTTTACATATAAGAACTAAATACTACTATTATACACACACAGGAAAGGTATAATTTGCTGAAAAATAAATGTAAATATATATGTCTGTAATGACGGTTAGAGCACAACACGGGACGTTAAGAATGCCTGTACAAGTCCCATACGTTCCGTTATGTTTTTCAATCTAAATAGATTCTTAATTTACATCCAGTGATTGCTTAAGATGTATGTTATAATAAATAGTGTGAAATACAACAGATAATGTAAAAATGAATAAAAAAATTGGGCAACACGAGCGGGGCTTTAAACCCACAAACTAACATTACGTGTCGTTTGATCTAACGCTGAAAGTTGCGGTTGAAATTTTATTTCACGCAAAATAAAATGGAGAAATTTAAATTCGATGCAGGTACGTGTTCATAATAATCGTATGGAGCGCTGTTGCGTCGGGTTAATCGTATAAATCGTATAAAATCGTTTAATTCAACATAGATTCTTAATTGATAGTATAAATGTAATAACATGTGTCAAAATTTGACATTTAATGTCATTTTATTACAATGTAACAAAATTTTTCATTCCAAATTAATTTCCTAAGTACATATATAGATATGTACCACACATTTACGAGCACACAAATAACGTCACGTCTTGGATCTATGAACCGAGATTTGTAAGAACATTTAGGTTATTTTTATCATGGCAATTTGTCTAGAATTTATCGGTTCTTTCGATATTGGTGATCTCACTTGCGCAGTTAGATCATAGACTAATTTAATTTCTTAGCACACCGTGATGACTCGGCCATGTGTTACACCTTATAAAGAAGAATATTAGAAATCATTGTATCGATATTGTTACGTCACTTAGAATAACGTTAAAAGGGCTGATTAAAAAATAACTAGCTAAAATTAATCCTGTCCCGTGAACTCATTTAGGTAATAAATAATTTTGTACTAAATACTTTAAGAGTTGATATTAAAACGTCAGATGTGTAGCTACTTATAATAAAAAATAGACGACCCTAAATTCATGATTAGACACGTGTAGCTTAAGAAATCATAAAGAAAAAAAACGACGAAAAAAGGACATGAGAGAAATTTGATTTTATAATAATGGCATAATCTAGACCGAGTATAATAAATTTTGAAAATATTAATGTACAGATTTTTGTAAAAGTGATATAAGTTTTGATATAAAGATATATTTATTTGAAATTCCGATAAATTGTCCAGTGTAACCGACGTAATAATAAAATCGCTTAATGAATTTAATAATAAAAATAAAGTTTTATAATGTTATTTGTAGTTACATTACTTAATTATATAGTCATACTTTGTTAAGAAAAAGTTATATTTAAACAATTTATTTTGTTTAGCGCCACCTACCTTATCACCGTCGAACTTCTCAGGTTCGTCACTGCTAGCTCGAAAATCATGTTTATCTTTCGAGTCGCGGCGTGGCGCTAGCGGCGTCTGAGGTGGCGATCCTAGCGCCATACTGCTTCTACCGCTTGGTGGCGATTTTATGAACTCGATTTTCCCACCTTCGACACAAATATTTGGCGTCAAGGGATACACAGGAGACATGGCTACATTTGAGTTTGCCAAATGATTATACATCTGATTGTCTTCTAATGGTAAAGATTTTGGTTTATTCCTCTTCCGGTATGTAGAATCGTATGCCAAAATCTGTGTTTTTTGTTCCGGATGCACTTGGCGTGCTTTTCCAGGGGGACGGTCAGGTGGTTCTGGTGATACATTATCATCTGGTTCTGGACTCTCGCTTCTCTCATTATTTGATGATCTGTAACAAACAAAAATATTTGTTAAACTCAATACAACGCTTCTTTTATCGTATGTATAAAAGAACTAGATATTTTTATTTTAGTCTGCGTAACAAAGATGGCGCTATTTTAAATACTATCAATTATTTTGATATAATTTAGTATTTTAGTGATAAAATGACATATTCTATCGTGTATTTTTTTGTTAGATTAAAACAACACATTTAATATAATTTAAAAATTAATAAAATGAAACACAAGTTGATGATGATAGTCGTTTATTTCTGAAACGCGCTATTAAGATTTCCCTCGTCGCTTAGTACAGATACGTTGAGAACGGTAGAGTAGTTGGAAGTGTATTCTTTAGTGTGATGCCACTACTGTCCATAGATCGCTAGCTCTAGTTAGTAGGTCTGCAGAACGTGACGTCACGCGCTCGTTGTCAGGCTACGCTTCTTGTAACGTGCGCTGCGAACGATCGCCCGTGCTTCGGTTGCGACGTCTCAGCGGCGCACATTCCTTGGGCGGCCTTAAACCTTACGCGGTTTTAGTTAAATCGTTAGCTTAGCTCCGGTTAATTCTTGAACACTTCCATAATGAGGCGGCGAGAATACATCTCGGATGCCCGTTTTTTGTCATTACTTTTGGTATATTCGTATATGAAGTGCACATTTAATTATCGTTTCTGTGGTTGATATTGAATAATACGAAGAATAATACGAACAAGGTATTAATAACGCTGTTTATGTATCAGAAATAAATAGCGTTTGATTACCTAATAAAAATAACATAGAATTATACGTTATGTACTTACTAAGTTTTATTGTAAACAAAGTTTTGTACCTAGGTATATTCAGAGCCACACAAATTTTCTTATTGTTCCACCTAAGAACAAAACGTATACTTGCACATAGAAGTAAATATTTATATTAATAGCTAACTACTGAACGGAACACACTAACTTGAAATTTGTACAAAAATCTAAAAATAACTTAAGCGAGGGTTAAAATTACCGTTTTAGATAAGCTATTGTAAAGAAGCATACTATTTTTATAGATATTGAAGCCCAGTGGCGCATTAATTCATTGACCTTTATGCAATTAGTGTTTATATTATGCATATACAATTTGCTATCGTTTTGTTTTCTATCACATAACATATATCATATAACCATGACCACAAATTATCTACCACTTCCTAGGCCTATTTGCATGTTACTAAACCTAAGAAAAGGTCGCGGATTCGATAATAGACTAACTAAGCCTATATTTAAGGTAAACATTTTGTAGCATTTGTTACAAAATTGTATATAAAATGTGTATGTATTATGTCATGTTGTTTTTAGTGTATATGCATATTTTCTCGAGATGTAAAGAGTTGGGAGACCTCATGTATAGCTCTGCAATTATAATAAATCTCTTCTAATTACTACATACACGACAGTTTCTAAATTCGTCCTCACAAGTAAGGAAGGAAATGTCTCTCGCACTTTTATCCAGAACTAGTTACGCTACGATACAATTTGAATTTTAAAACAACGAAATACGATACATTTTTGCGTGAAAGGAGAAGAGTTATATATGGCGATGTTTTCGTCAGTTCACGACGCGGTATTTGACCTGTTGTGTAGATGCAACATTTGAACATGGCACAATTTTAACACGGCGAAAGAAAATTATACATTTATATAATATAAATGAGTTTATCTAAGTTATTGCAAATAAAATCGAAAATAAATATTTAAAAAAATACGACTCGAGCAGGTCTTAAACCAGCATAGAAAGCGCTTCGTGCTGTCGCTCTAACAAATTGAGCTACCGGGTCGGATTATTTTAGATTTTTAATTTAAGTTTGCGTGAGTTCACACTTTAGGCAGTTGTCCCTATCACTCAGAATGAACTAGCAAGAAGTTACTTGAATGAGAGATTGAAGCTCACAGAGGAACGAGTGAAGACCTATATTAATAAGTACGAACGAATATTGTGTACATCTATGGCACGCTTCTTAAGCGATAAATTAGCAAATAGTCGTTTCTTATATATAGTATAGCCCACAGTGGAACCACTGCCTTACGCAGAGAGAGCGTCACGAGTCACGATTGACAGATAACGCAATTGGCGGTGACTTCAAAGTGGAACGACGGCTGTGAAAGGGTTACAAAATGTAAATAGATTATCGGCTAATGAAGATGTTTCAGGTATTTATGAGAAAAATACATTTCCAATTCAACGACAAAATTTTAGTATTCGTACGAAATTTTGATCGTATTTTTGACGCGCTGTCCACGTTTTTGGCATAGCAGCACCCACATTTACACTTCACGGTATGTTCACACCGTTCATTAATGTCCAAATGTTTTGAAATATCAGACCATGATCAAACGAAAATGTTTGGAATCAAACCTACAACCGCACATTAGCCTTACAAAATTGTCCATTTTACTTTGAAGAAGTCTAAGCATCTTTATTACTTTGAAAACGTTTTTTTTTATTTTATTACATGTAAGGCATATTACATAGTTAAAAATGAAGCATGATATGTAAAAAATATTAAAGTTTTCAATTCAATTCAGTTATTTCATCTTCAATGATTTCTTAAGCTGCAAAGCATAAGACGTTGAACCTTAATTCGCAAGTGGTTAAGGTTGAAATTACATTGCGCGAGAGGTGCATTTATCAATAAGTTGAAAAAATTCGACGATGAGGTGTAGGACTCGGTAGCTCAATTGGTAGAGCAACAGCACGGAACGCTGACGATGCCGGTTCAAGTCCTGCCCAGTCGAAAATTTTTCAATTTATTTTCGATTTTTATATTATCTTTATTACTTTTGTAATGCTTCATTCCATCTTCAAAGAAGCAATTTTTAAACTTATAAAGTACTTTTTTTTACTTTTATTCATATAAAGTAGCATCCGCAATAAAATAAGTGGATAATTAATAGAAATAATTCTCATTAAAAATGAAATAGTTTAAGTGTTTCGCGCAGTTAATCGAGGCAGTCGACCGTTATAATGTGTAATTCAAGAATTTGATGATAATATTATTATAAAATTCTTGTCCCATAAAAGTTCTTTACAATTTACAGTTTTAATTCTGTAGATAATTTTAAATAACGTGTTTTTGTGGAATTGTATTCTTGGAAAAGTAGATATGGAGTTATTCATTCAATTTAAAGATTGCTACGAAGGTAGTTAATCACCTCCTAAAAACTAATTCTATTATAATAAGTAAAAAAGCTAGTAAAAGTTATTTAACAAAACAATAGCTAAATTGAATGATGTCGAGAAAAGAGAAGACTTTTACAAAGTCTAAGTCAAAAGTCCAGTATCATAATTGGCTATGGGGCATAACTGTTCCTTACTTCACTTGCTTTGTCTGTGCCTTGTCCAAGTACAATTATTTCTATACTCATGTAATTATTGATATAAGGTAGTAACATACTTTTCCTGTCTAAAATATAAAGTCCTAGGGGTTTAGATATTTCTAGATCTAATAAAAGAGCTAAACAAAAGCTGTAGGTCATTTTGGTCGTTAGGTTTAGCATTTGCAGTGAATCAGTTGCCTAACGCTTGGTTTACTATTTATATTTTCTGAGAACTATGGTTCAATCATTCGATTAAAATTGGATCTCTTTACTTTGTTGTGGAAGACAATACTAGAAAAGTGAATTGTTAAAGATCGATTTATGGAGGTTGAAGCTATGAGATATATAAAAATATAATAATCTTAAAAAAACCTTTTACATTAAAATTTAAACGTAAAAAGTATAGACAAAATGTGACCCAAAACTAAATGGTTTAAAAATTCGTGAAAAAAAATGATAATCATGTTTAAAAACTGTCTCAGAGTATATACATACATATACATTAAGATTTATTTCTGTAGTACATACTAAAGTTTTGATATAGCTATTATTATTATAACTTTTTAGTTTCCTAAATAAATAACCGAGAAACAATCATAAAAACACATACTAACAAAGTTTAATTTCCTTTTTGTACGAGATATTCAAAGAGAAACCAAATGAAACCGTAGATTAAAGAAGAAATAAATAATCTACATGTAAACCAAATACAAACAGTATCGGATACCAATTCAGTCAAACCAAACACTTTCCAATCAACAGCGTGCAAACAGAAATTGTAACATTTACGTAACAAGTGAATCAGACTGCGTGACTGTTAGTTTAGTCAAAGATTATATATTACTTCAGTTCTAGCAAGTGACTTATGAGAAGGATTACAAACTTTACTTAGCTTTGCTAATTAAACGAGGCTTTAGTTATCATTTATGAGGACAGAGAAGCATGGGATTCATTTGATTGACAAATCAAAATGGCTGGCCACCTATTTTGGCTTTGGCTGTTCATAAATCTGAAAATAAACTGAATCCTTAAATAAAAAAATCATACGACCATCTTAGTTCAATGTTTGACTATGTTTGCTAAATTGCATCAAGGACTACAGGTCTAAGCTCGAATCGGGGAGAAACGATAAATAGTTTCGATTAAGCATAGACTCAGAAGTCTGAATAGCTACTTGCCAAATAACACAAAAAAAAACTTACAAAATACACAAGATTTTGGGGCATGACAGAGAAGCTAGAGAAGGAAATTGGATATTACAATTAAAGATCCAATATAGTAAGTAGCAGTACATTCATTTATCCCGACGATATCCCTATCAACTGAGTCCGCTAGAGGCAGAGTAGCCTTCAAAGTGTAAAATTGTTAATCTACAAGAGCCCAGTGGCCGAAAATTGTTAACATAATTTTTACACAAATCATAGTAAAATTCATTTTCGCCTAATCTAATTGCGCATTTTTATTTTCCTCTCTATTGAAAATCATGTTTATCGTAATTTGATTTGTTAGTGTATCTGTTTTTGTAATAATCTATGCAACAACAGAGACCGCATGGGCGGACCATTTGAGGCAAGTAGCGGCCCGTAGGTCATGGCGCGGCGTTGTCTTAATCGATTTTATTGTACGGTGCTTTCGTTCGGCGCTTTTTTGCCACCCGTGGGAACCGTATTCGGAACGCCGCGTCTGTTCTGCTTTATCTATGTTTTTTGTCAGTTTTCAATACAAATGGTATTGTGCGCGATTGTTACAATATTTTTTACAGATGCAGGAACATTACAAAAACCTTGTGATCTACTTGGCAGCGAACTACGAACGTTTACAGTTCCCGCATTGTATAAGGAGAACGCGGCCATTTTGAAAAACTAGTCGAGTTGTCATACTGTTCTGCCTTCGTATTTAAGTAATTTTGTTGATAACTAAACTAGCTTTACACTTGCGTTTGTTTGCTTCTTTAAGTTTTAGTACCTTACTTACCTTACCTAATTGAACCAAGAAATTATAACATGTATTATACATTAAATCATTTTTAAGGTCCTTTAACCTTCAGCTTCACCTGCTATTATCTTTCTCGTGGATTCAAACCCATGACCAAGATCTCGCGCAGTCACGAAGGCGGTTAAAACAAGTAAACAACATTAATTTGACACAACAGCACATAAATCAGAGTTTAACGTCAGGTTATATTACGGCTGGTTAGGCACTTAAACTGAAATAGACTAACCTAGATCGTGTGATTCATTCCTACGCTGATTTATATTTAGATACTAGAATTATTAATTCCATGAAATTTATCGTTTGTTTGTGTTCAAAATTGAAAACACGCTGTATCTATAAGTTCTGCAACAAGATTTCAACCGTAATTGATTTAGCATGTATTTTTATAGCTATATAAAATGTGAAATAAATAGTTAAATACTATCCGTAGTTTACCCGTAGTAAGCTTTTAAATAAAACACTTAAGGGTTTAAAACACGATATATACTCCCCGTGAACACGGCTGGTGTAAAACATCCAAAATGTCGGGCCGTAGTTAAAATATTTTAAAAATAAGTTTGACTACTATATATCGCGTTTTAAACCGTTAAAGTGTTTTATTTAAAATAAATAGTTTTTAAATACAAAAATAGGCATATATAGAGATATATTATATTTTTCTCACTGTTTACTGAACGACAATTTATTTATTTTACTTTATTTTATACTTTATAAAAAATATGCACAAAAAAATGAACAAAAATATAAACTTATATACTAAACATTGGCGGCTCCATAAACCAGAAGATACGAGTAGAAGCGAAATCAATAAGTAACTATTGTATTTTTTGTCAATTTAGATAAAAAAATGTAAGACGTCCTGAATTCCTCAATTTTCTTATACAACATGAGTATTTGAAACGCTCTTGACATATTTAAACATCCTGGACTCGAACCAATTACTCTCATTATAAAAGCTGTTACACGTGAGTATAGTAAAGATGAAAAATCGATTTTAGACTGAAAAAATGGCAACCACAGCGTTCCGTGCCGTGCCCACCATTAACCGAATGTGTCGAATTTTTTCATCCTCAATACATGCACCTCGCGCAACATAGTAAAGATTCAAACAATCTTACCTAATGTTCCATCATTAGGTACAATCAAGCTTAATACGAACTCATTCCCTCTAATTTGCTTCAAATGAGTGCAATACAAAAGGTCGGTAAAAAGCAAAAAACCCAGGTACAGTCGATCACAATAGGTTCATTTCACTAAGGTCACACTGTTGGCCCTAACTGTACCTGTCTACGTGTTTCGGTTTACGCAACTTATACTGTTGGCCGTATAGAATGATAAGCAAATATATGAATGGCTTTATACGTGTTATTACTCTGTAGGGTTCCGTACCTAAAGAGGAAAAATTATATAACTTAAACTTTAATCTGTTTGTCTGGTATAGCTGAAATATTCAAAAATAAATTATAAACCCTAAATACTGTCTGTAGTTGACGCGAGTAGTATTGTAATTAGCTTTTAAAGATTTTAGATTGCGTCTTGATGGGAAGACATTTCTTCCAGGCAACCTTTGTGTACAGTAAAGACTTAAATGTTTTACAATGAAGTTACAGTTTTCGGAAGCGATTCAGTCTGTAGAATTCCGCATATCCAAAGCCAAAATAGGCCGACATCGCATTGTTTATATGGCTAGAGTATGTAAAACACTTTTACGGGTTAAAACAAGATATATTAGTTGAACTTATTTGAGCCTCCCCTGTCCAGGGCTCTCAAAGCATCCGCAACGTCACTCCGTAGTTCAAATAAGTTTAATTAATATCGCGTTTTATTATGTTAAATATAAACTAGATGCGCTGTCGACCTATTTTGGCTATTGGCATATTTTGATGTTCGGAATTGCACAGACTTAATCACTAAAAACTAGAACTGTTACTTTATTATAAAACATTTAAGTCTTTACCGTACCGTTGCCTGGAAGAAATGTCTTTCCATTAAGTCGCAATCTAAAATCCTTTAACAGCTAATCAAAATTGTTATCAACCTTTTTTGATTTTAGACATTCAGCATTAAACTTGATAATTTTTTCATCTGTATACTGTGGTTCGTGACCCGGACGGTATTGGACGGCCAACGTGTTTCAAAAATATAAATCGAATGCTGTCTATAGTTTACGCGAGTAGTACACATTTAAATAAAACACTTTAACGGTTTAAAACGCGATATATTAGTTAAACTTATTTGAAAATGATTTTATAACTTCGGCCCGACGTTTCGGATGCTTTGCAGCAGCCGTGGTCACGGGGAGACTGTCGTGGGGAAAGGTCGGGCCGAAAAATGTTGGACCCGGTGGGAATCGAACCCGCGACCCGATTACTAACATTGCTACCAGTAGACGAACCCCGGGTTATTACCGGTATGTGCATAATCTTAAACCCGTTTAATATCGTAGTCAAAGCATTTAAAAGCTTCTTCCTCTGCATTTTAAGAGCGCTTAAAACGCATCCGCGCAAGAGATAAAATCCATTACGAACTGTCGAGCGCGTTATATTATCGCGTATGAATTATGTATATGTTTAGCGTTGAAGATAACGTTAAGTAATATCTATACTTTGATGTATCGGTTTGTCTCTTACAACATACTGAGTAAAACTTAGATATCACATTTAAATAACAGTTCTCATATATTAGTTGAAATTGTTTAGACATTTTTTTAAGTACGGCCCGAAGGTTCTCAAATATTTCGTTCGTTCTTTAATTTCTTGCGTTTAAACCGTTAAAGTTTTTTATTTAAATGTGTACTTATTGTGTAAACTACAGACAGTCTTGGATATCATATTCAAGACAATATATACTTTAGTGCAAGATGAAAATATAAAACAAAGAAATAAAATGTTTGTCTTTTAATTTTTTTTATAAAATTAATAATAAATACTAATTAACTCAGTTTATGGTTGTGGTTTTAGGCATAAAACAAAAGTCTTACCGAGTATCTGATTAGTTAACCAGTTATTGGTTGATTCGTCTTACTAGCTAGTAAATAATAATGTGAAACGGACACAGAAATGTCTGCTTTATACAACAGCTAGAGTACCGGTGACTACAATTTAAAACTTGATTAAATTTTTTTGTATTATCTGGATACAGATAATGGAAAAAAACTTTCAATATTAACGCCATCTACTGAGCTTAACAGTAAAAAACTAAACAAAGAAACCATTTAACTATAGTTATTATCTGTACTAATATATAAAGCCAAAAATTTTGTTTGTTTGAACGCGGTATTCTTAGGAAGTACTGGTGGGAATTGAAACATTCTTTTGTGTTTGATAGAGCATTTATCGAGGAAAAATATAGGCTATAAAACATCGTTGCCACTGATAGGAGCGAAGAAACAACGGGAAATGTGGGTTGCGTACGCTGCGAAAACGGTTGAAGATACCCAAACTAATATGTATGAAAGAATGATTCTTTAAGTGATCTAAAAATGTCCGCCACACTCTATGTCTATCTTTTAAGATTAAAATTGCAAGAACGACGAGACACGACCAACTAAGCTGTTGTACACGACGTCGGTCGCGATAATAAGGAGAAGTTCAAAAAAAAATTGGATGCCCAAAATAAGTATTCTACGCGGACGAAGACGCTGAGCCAGCTAGTATAGTATAGTTCTACTTACATCCCCTTATATTTACCCCCTTATATGCTTATATTCACATACATTAGCCACAGAACCGAGAAAGGTATAAAAGTCGAAAACAATATTTCTTTAAGCCGTGCCCAATGTTTCACATTAAAACAATTTTATTGGAACCTGATACAGCGATGCTATCTCTCATTCAGCTGAATGCCTCCTTGAATTCGCGGTAAAACATTGATCATATCACGGAAATGAAACATTACTTATCACTAGAAGCGAGAACTGTTACTTCATTATAATACATTTAAATTGAGTCTAAGTTAAAATCCGGCTTTAGATTGAAAAAGTTTACGACACGAGCAGGATCTAAGAATCTAAAATTTTTCTGTACAGAAAAGAATTGATTAAACACTTAAAAACTTTGTATGCACATAGGTTGTCTGGAAGAAATGGCTTTTTTAAAGCCGCAATCAAACAAATTCACAGACTATATCATTGTCTTTCGGGCTGTTCGGCCGATGTGAGCGAGAAGAGATTCTCGACGTTTCGCCATCACAATGATATGCTGAACGATGGCCGTGAAAGCCTTACACAAATTCAGAGACTGATGCCATAAAGCGACATACATACATTTTTAACTGGTTCGTTGGTCCAGTGGTCCAATGTATGGCTTATAAGTTTATAACCAACACGAGTCGTCGGTTCGATTCCGATTAGATAAGCGTAGTCCAAAGACTAAATACATTGACGGCGCACTTACTAAAATTACGACTAAAGTATTTCACTAAAAGCGAACGCTAAGCTTGTCTGTTCTCCTCCGTAATAAAAAATCTACACGAGCCAAAAATTCATTAAATATGTAGATCGATATCTTACTACCTCAAAGCGTAATTCCAATATCCACCTGACTCTCTTTAATTCATAGCGATTAATAAAATGTTCCGCTACACACCTGTCGACACACATGCCATGATCTATCGGAGGCATGTCGACAAAAACCGACTCTAACCAATTGAAAAGCAGTAATGGACTATAATTCCCGAGCATTTTAAAAGCACCGTTAAGCATGCGTCTGCGCACGAGCCCTTAGCAGCTGCGCGGTGATTGGCTCGCTTTTTGTTCCATATTCGAATAATCGGGCGTCTTATCCTGCGTAATTATAGGGATACTAACGCGCCTGTCACCTGCAGGTACCGTCTTATAAATTACTTTTTTGGTACAATTGAAAAATTATAATGTAGATGGAATACTGGCCTGAAATTTTAACTACGTACGTATTATTAGCAGTAAGCAATGATGTTCGCAAACTTAGCCGAATATAAAATTGAGTTTATTTATGTACTAGCTGTGCCCGCGCGACTTTGTCTGCGTTGAATTGTTATTTTGGACAACAAAAATTGTTTTTGAAACCTCCTCATCATTATTAATTATATCTGTATAGCGCCACGCCGACGATGGTCCGCGTCCCGTCGTTCTTGCGAATTATTATTAAAAGTTAGGCATACGTAGTCGTGGACAGTTAAATTATTTAAAGAGAAACCATTCTTTATATTGTTAATAATAATTTTATTGTGTTATTGTTTCTTTGCTACTTTGGTCGTAGCCTGGTGTTTTATAGCCTTCCTCGATAAATGGTCTAACACAAAAATATTCTTCAATTCGATCCAGTAGTTCTTGCAATTAGCGCGATCAAACAAACAAATATACCTAGATTATGTGCTCTTTACGCGTGGAAGTATTAAAAACAAAACTCTCGTCGAGTCGATATAAGAAGTAAAAGGTAGTTTGCATTTTAAATAGTAAAAACGTCCTCCAAAGACGTAGTTATAATATTATTCATTATGTTGTCTTATGTTTTATTATTATAATTTGCATATAATTGTGATTGCTCTTTTGTTGTGATAAAAATAAGGTAACTTGTAAATCTATACTAAGAACTATGTGAAATTAAGTGAACGATAACGTCCGTGGATAATGAAAATTCACCTAAAGAATTCGGCTTCACGGAAACCGAATTTTAATAATATCGGTGCCGTTACAGCATGAAAAAGTAATAAATATAAACTCCGTAAGCTTTCAAGTAAATAATAAAAAAGGAAAGTAATTAGTATACTAAAATACAAATGTTATATTAGTAATGATGATTTGCAACTGTGTAAGCTCAATTGCACGAAATTGTATACCTTCTCGTATAAGTTCATGTCCTTCCAGCAATATTATTTTATCGCCGCGATGCTACACTCGACCGCCACATAAAATTCATTTTTCAATACTTTTACGATCTCGAAACCGCCATTTTCTTACAATGTCACTTGGCCTACTTCTTTTTATGGTTCTTATCTCTAAAGTCCAATCCAAAATTGATTGCAAACATTTTGTAGTAACGACGTGTGTCCACTTCTTTGATGTCTCGAGTTTCGGAGCTACGGCTGGACGGACAGACCGCACCTGTCCGCATTTCCTGTGCATTGTTTTTTTGCCTCTTACGATTTCCTGACGAGATCTGTAGATTTTCCGAGAAGGAATCTTACGATTGTAAAAACAGTCGGTGAAGTTCCATACATAATTTATATGGTCTCAAATCAATATGATATTAAACTTAACATAAAAACTTGACAAGCAATGTATGTGGTGTAAGCTTGCTGTATGTATGTTGTGGTGATTTAGCGCAACGGGCCGTAAGGTTTTAAAAAACAGGGAAACAACTGTGCCACATTTAATGATTTTGAAAACTTCGATATTTTCAACATGATGCATATGATGCCATTATATAAATTAAACATCGATTTTAGATCGAAAAATTTAAACATGTAGGACTTACGGTGCAACGCTACGCAAAATTGATTTTTAAATCACATTCAATAATTCAATGTAAAGATACAATTATGGGGACCTTACTTTGGACGCGACCGCGACGATGATAATATAACTCCTTGAAAATAATGCTTTGTATTGTTTACAAAAAAAAAACAAATATTAGTGCAATATTACATTTTACTACACAACACTAGGCAGGGTTACTAAGCGGTGTCTTTGTAAACATTATTAACATTCGCTAATTATCCCCATTCAAAAAAGTCCTTTTGACAGATAATTACATTCAATATGTCTTGCCACGGCGCCACAACAGACCAAGTTATGTGAGCTCATTTTCTGCCATTAGCGATGAAAAAGACACAAAACGAGAACATTTATGTACAAAGAAGTTTTATGGTAAGGTTAAGACCACAGTCTCAAGAGGAAGCGGATTAGGGCGATAAACTACAACAAATAAATCATTAATCTCAAATCACTGTCAAATAAAAAACATTTTTTTTAAATTATATAATGCCTTCATGTGCAATTACATGTGAAAAATATTAATGTTTTCAAATATTTGGGATTTTTCTATAATTGGCGGGCGTAGAGATAAAATTTTAAGTTAGGCCACATCTGCATATTATCTATACTAATATATAAAGCTGAAGAGTTTGTTTCAACGCGCTAATCTCAAGAACTGATACTGGAACTCTCTAAGATTATCAAAAAAATTTATGATATAATTATTCCTCCTTAACTTGCAAAAACGAACGCGACAACGTAGTGGGATACAGCTATCCTACTAATATTATAAACGTGAAAGTTTGTATGTGTGGATGGATGTTTGTTACTCTTTCGCGCAAAAACTACTGAATGGATTTCAATTATTAAACTTTCCAATAATATAGCTTATACATCAGAATAACACATAGGCTACGGTTTATAAAGATATTGTGTGAGCTGTCCAAAATATGACATTAAGTGTCAAGTAACTAGGAAAAAACCTACCTTTCTGCGAGCTATTCTGGCGTGCGCTGCCATAAACGTTAGTTACACATAATTATGTAATGTATAATATGATAGACATCATTAATTTAAATAAAACACTGTAACGGTTTAAAACGCGATTTAGTTTAGTTTCGGATGCTTTGCAGCAGCCGTGGTCACGGGGAAACGTCGGGCCAAAGTTAAAAATAATTTTCAAATAAGTTTAACTAATATATCGCGTTTTAAAACGTTAAAATGTTTTTTTTAAATGTGTATACTACTCGCGTAAACTATAGACAGTATTTTAGACATCATTTAGTTCAAATGCGCGATACTACGTAATCCTAATCCTAATCCTGCGTAGACGAAGTCGCGGGCACTAGCTGGTAATTAATATATTGATGGTGGTGGTTTCCAAAAACAAATTTTGACGCCCATAATAACTATTCTACGCGGACGAAGTCGCTGACACGGCTAGTTTTTAAGAAAGTGTTCGTGAAATCAAAGGGATACTCATTACACGCAAAGCTCAATGTCGGAATTAATATTTTTAACAATCTTCTTTATACCCAAATATGTTGAACAGTTATTATGAGCGGTCCTTTCTGGGGCACAAAGGCAACTTCACGTCCACGTCGCGTGCATGGTTAATTAATTAGATATTGTCACAGCTAACCGCTGACCCCAGGGGTACGTTAGGCGTGTTCTACATACATCATATTTGTAACACTAATTGCTGGTAATAAACGTGAACATTTAACTTCCATACAACAAGGTCACTGAAAGATATAAACATACGTTAGTGGAACGTTCTGTTGGCTACACGAATCTTTTCAAAGAAATTACGATTTGTAATAATCACAAGCACGAGTAGTCCCGGGTTTGAATCCTGGTGAAATACTTAATAACTTCAATCGGCTCATAAAACACATTCAAAATCGCACTAATAACGGGTCTCACATCCCACAGAGGAGCTAAACAGAATTTTACTTTTATGATTGATATAGCAAAATGACATTACGATACAAAATTATATTCGCATTGTCCAATACGTAATATTACCTGAGTGAAAACCAATACAATACAATAATTGTTTGCTCAACACGATATCATACCCTTGTTTAAATCAGTAGAATCACAATTTGTTTTATATAATATATATAACTAGCTGACCCGGCAAACGTTTTTTGCCATATAATAAGGGTTGATCGTAGAAGGGTGAAAATTGAGGATTGTGTGTATTTTTGTATGTTGTATCATAAAAAAATAGAAATTAAAAATTTTGTCTAAAAAATAAAAATTAAGGGGTGGACTACCTCCTAACATTTAAGGGAGATGAAAAATAGATGTTGGCCGATTCTTATAGATACCGGATAAGCACAAAAAATTTCATCAAAATCGGTCAAGCCGTTTCGGAGGAGTGTGGCAACGAAAACTGTGACACTAGACTTTTATATATTAGATAATAATTGGAATGATAAGTATGTTTAAACTATTTTCTCTACAACTGTATTATAAACAAAATCGAATTGATACGGAGAAAACATCATGTTTTATTCATACAATGTCATCTCTTCGTTTATTGATATTTCGCTCACACAATATAATTTCAATACGAAACACTTAAACCGGTTTGAATGAATTGATTCAGGACATTATGAACTTCTCGGTTAAATTTTAACGTTACGCTGTAATGTTATTTAATGAATAATGCATTTGAACGCTAATAAGACCGAAAATAAGATAACAATGATAAAAGGTTTTTATCTCACGCCATCTTGGATTCGGTTTCACTTTACGAGTTCATACATGTTACCTGTGAACTTTTTGGTTCATATTGTTTTTTGACTGATCAAAGTTAATCTTTGAACCTTCACACTTTTGCAAGGTTTTAGTATTGGCGTATATATAACAAGCGCGCAATTTCGCCTGCAAAGAATGTAGGTATTTTTTTCCAATAATGTTTTTTTTTATGTAGATTAACGTAAATATTATTTAAATCTATACTATAATATAATAAAGCGGAAATTTTAATGCGCTAATCTCCGGAACTACGGGATTCAATTGAAATATTGTTTTTATGGCTATAAAATATCGTACGGCCAATAGGCGTGAAGATACACTGGGAAATGTGGAAATAGCGGGAAATCATATTATAAACTAAAATGGTTGCGTGCGCTGCGAAAATTATTCAAGATACCCAAAAAAAAAATGATAAAGAATGATCCCTGTTTAAAAGGTCGTCGTGGATACGTACGTTC